CATTTTTACAGTCCCAATCTTTGGCCTATATATATCCCTTCTGATTGACCCCCAAGTTTATTTCCCCCCCATCAAAAATGTTCTTTCAGAAGCACTCAGTTCCCTTGAATCTTGCAACATGACAGAAGCAGGCAGTCCAGGACAGGGAGTGAACATGTGGGAGCTAGGACTGAAAATTTGATCAATATTATCTTAAAATTGTATAGCACAAACCAGTTTCCAATACTTTCTCATCTCATTTGAACCTGCCAACAATACCCAAATAAGTGTCCTTTCTTTGCTGAATAAAAAAATGATAAGCCCAGGCTTCCCACTGTTGGAAAATTTAGGGATAAACCAGGGGAGGAGGCTAGAATGATTTCTGTGGTGATGGGTCAGAGCTGAAGACATTAGTATAAACTCATGCTTCGCTTAATATAGTTTCCTACTTATAGAAGTATTTATAGATATGTGTGTATACACAGATAAGTATACACGTATTTTCTTACTCTGTGGCTAGAAAAAAATGAGGCCAAGATCTTAGTTTCTAATACTCTCCAATGAAAGGGACCAGGGCTCCTTGGAGAAATGGCTGATTCTAGGACTGGAGAAGAAATGAAATATCAAGATGAGTCTGCAGCACCTTATTGAGCTAAAAGGTAAGGAAGTGATCTAAAAAAAACAAAGCAAAATAAAATACAACAATTCCTTACACAATGATGGTGGGTATGTCAAAAGGACACAGGAACCAACTGAAAGCTCCCAGTGGCTAATTTAAGCAACAAAATAAAGTATCAGATTATAACCAAAAGTATTTTTAAAAAATATATATTTTTTATTGATTTTTTACAGAGAGGAAGGGAGAGGGATAGAGAGCTAGAAACATTGATGAGAGAGAAACACCGACCAGCTGCCTCCTGCACACCCCCACTGGGGATGTGCCCAAAACCAAGGTACATGCCCTTGACCGGAATCGAACCTGGGACCCTTGTGTCCGCAGACTGAATCTATCCACTGAGCCAAACTGGTTTTGGCTATAACCAAAAATATTAAGTAAATACTTGTAAGTCTATACTTGCATAAATAAATGAATGAATAAATGGTGGAAATGAGACAAGTAGCCCATTTAGAAAAATTTCCAGGAGGTGGAGCATAACTTCCCACTCATGTGAGCTGCATATACTGACTTCATTCAAAAAGAGCATGGAGCCCTGGCAGGTGCAGTTGGTAGAGCCTTGTCCTGTATACCAAGAGGTTACTTGTTCTATTCTGGGGCAGGGCACATGCTAGTGTGTGGGCTCAATCCCCAGTAGGGGGCATGCCTTTCTCCCTCTCTCTCTCTCTCTCTCTCTCTCTCTCCCTTTCCTCCGTCCCTATTTCTAAAAAAAATAAATAAAATAAAATAAATTTTAAAAGAGTGTATGGGAAAGGACATGTATTAGTTTGCTAGGGCTACCATAACAAAGTATCACAGACTTGGTGGCTCAAACAACATAAATTTCCCATTTTTCTGGAGGCTAGAAGTCCAAGATCAAGATGTTGGAAAGTGTGGTTCTCTCTTAGGCTTTCTGGTTGAGTCAAAATTAAAATGACAAAAACAGAGTAATAGGAGAAAGAGATGCAAATTCATATTAAATTTTACATGACATGGGAACCTTTATAAGGAAATGAAAACCCAAAGAAATGGCAAAATCTATTTGCTTTTATATTAGGTTGAACAAAGAGAAATAATCAAGGAAAAGTGACTAAACTATGTAGGGACATTAAAGAAGAGAATTATTTTAAGGTTTGTATAGAATTCTCTTGGTCTCAACTTCTAGACCTTGGTGTTAAGAATGTTACTTTCCTGCCAAAGCTGGTTTGGCTCAGTGGTAGAGCATCGGTCTGCGGACTGAAAGGTCCCAGGTTCGATTCTGGTCAAGGGCTTGTACCTTGGTTGCGGGCACATCCCCCATAGGGGGTGTGCAAGAGGCAGCTGGTCGATGTTTCTCTCTCATTGACATTTCTAGCTCTCTATCTCTCTCCCTTTCTCTCTGTTAAAAATCAATAAAATATATATTTTAAAAAATGTTACTTTCCTTATAGGGAGGACATCTTTCATACAGAATTTCACCTGCTTTTAAGAAAAAGAAGGAAGGTTTGAGTGTTTTTCTTGTATTTGTTGTTTTTCAATTGCCCCTTGAAATAGTCCATATGCCAAAGCAGCATACCATGGGGTGACATACCCTGAACTCCTTCATCAGCATACTCAGCACTTCTCAACAGTAGTGGGAGGTAGGTATTGTCCTAAGGGCAAGAAAACAGAATGATTACCATCTTACACAGAGTACGAAGGAATTCAAGGAGGTAGAATTCAAGTATCTTAAATTTCAATCCAGTGTCTTTTAAAAATATTTATATATTTTTATTGATTTCAGAGAGGAAAGGAGAGGGAGAGAGAGAGAGAGAAACTTCAATGATGAGGAAGGATCATTGATTGGCTGTCTCCTGTACATAGAGCCCACAATCCAGGACTGGGAATTGAATCATGACCTTCTGATTTATAGGTAGACGCTCAGCCCTAAGCCACACTAGCTTGGCCAGTGCCCTTCTATTATACTGGTCATAACTGCACATGTGATCTTGTTTGGGCAATAAAGGTGGGACCCTGAAACAAAGATTTGGTTTTAGAATGATAAGGAACACAGAGAATTCCGTAGGACTTTACGCTGTAGCCTTTACCTCTGGCACCTCTGGAGAGACTATAGGCAGTGAGCAAGAGAAGGCGAGGCCTGAGTTCCAGGGAGTGAGGACTGACCCTAAGTGACGCCTTTGCCAATGATCTTCCTTCAACTGCACATGCAGGACACATACAATCAAGGGAGTAGCCTTAAGAGATGGTCTTGGTAGAAACCATCCCAGATTCCTATGACAGGCACTGGACACCACTTACTAGTAGAGTTGAAGGAAATAGGATGAACACAATAACAAGAAGCTGGGACTAAAATATATCCTATTGCCGAAGCTGGTTTGGCTCAGTGGTAGAGCGTCAGTCTGCGGACTGAAAGGTCCCAGGTTCGATTCCGGTCAGGGGCATGTATGTTGGTTGCAGGCACATCCACGGTGGGGGGTGTACAGGAGGCAGCTGGTCAATGTTTCTCTCTCATCGGCGTTTCTGGCTCTCTATCTCTCTCCCTTCCTCTCTGTAAAAAATCAATAAAATATATTAATAAAATATATCCTATCTAATAAAGAGGGAATATGTTAATTGACCATAATGCCATCATAAAGATGGTGGCACCCACAGCCAATAAGGAGGGAATATGCTAATAGACTGCCACACCCTCAAAGATGGCAGTGCCCAGTTCCCTCAGCCCCAGTCCCCTCAGTCCTTCAGCCCCCCAGGACCTGACAGAGGCACAGGCAAACCTTGGATGTTGGCTGCCCAGCCACGCAGGGCTAGCCTGAGAGACAACCAAACCACTGAACAAGCAGCTGCATGGAGTGACCAGGCTGGCAAGGAGGTCTGTTGGGGGCAACCAGGCTGACAGGGGGGGCAGTTGGGGGCGACCAGGCCAGTGGGGGAGGGCAGTAAGAGGTGATCAGGCTGGCAGGACAGGGGCAGTTGGGGATGACCTGGCCAGCAGCGGAGGACAGTTAGGGGCAAGCATTCAGGAAGGCAGGTTGAGTGATTAGGAGCCAGTGGTCCAGGATTGTGAGAGGTATGTCTGACTGCCAGTCTTGACCAGCAGTCAGACATCCCGGAGGGGTCCTGGATGGGAGAGGGTGCTGGCTGGGCTGAGGGGATGCCCCTCCCCTGACCCGTGCACTAATTTGTGCACGCCTTGTAGGCAATTGGGGCTTATGGGGGCTTTGGGAGGTTGGCTGCAATGGGTGGACCAGTCGTTTGTTCACTTAGGGATTTTATATATGTATCTATGGAGAATAATCAATCCAGGAGTGAAAGTGTGGGTGATTAAGGAGGCAGATAGAGGGCGAAGACAACATGGGGGTGGGGGTGCAAAGACCATATTCTTATGCCTGATGTGCACGGATAACAGCAGTGAGTAGACCGAATGCTGCTTCTGAGGTTGAGCTTTTTATACAGAGAGACACTGTAGGTATAGACTAGGGGTGTCGAACTCAATCAGAGAAGGGGCCAAAATCTAAAATCCAGCCTAAATCGCGGGCCCAATGGTTTACTGAACAGTCATAAACTGTCATTGTGATGGAAACGCAGAGGAGTGCAGTGATGACAGCGCGGTGCGGGCCACATTGCAAGGCCTGGTGGGACGGATTTGGCCCGCGGGCCTTGTGTTTGACACAAGTGGTATAGACCCTCCACAAAAGCCCTCCGGTGGGCATCCTTATTGGCTCCAGCAGGTGTATACCGTACATGGTGCGGCTACACGGGGAACAGAACGAGGGAGAGGCTGGAGACAGGGTACCTCTGCAAACACACAGGCCTAGGAACAGGTAGGCTCCTGGGCCGCCCGCTGGGGGCATCTTGTTTCAAGGCTCACTCAAGTTTCCGCTTTGGCATCCATTACCTGACCCAGCTGCAGATAACAAGGTGTTCGGGTGACCTTGGTGATCCTTTATCTCAGATTCTTGGTCCTCCCTCATTCTTCCCCTCCCTCCCTGCTTCTGCTGCCAACAAGGCTCTTTTGGAATTCTAGGTTATCCTATGGCCATTCCAGGACACCTCCGCCCCCCAGTCCTTCAGCTAGAAATGCCTGTTCGGACCGGAGAGGAGAGGCAGGCTTTTACCTGGACACCCTCCGTGACACCAGCTACCACCGCCCCTTTCAGGGCTGGCTCCCTCTGCATGGTCAGGGCCCGCTTGGGGCAGGGAGCGCCGGGGTGCGGGCGGGGGACCCGGGGCTGCGCGGGGCGGCCGGGCGGGGAGGATGCTCGGAGCCCGCAGCCGGCGGGCGGCGACGTGAGCCCGCGAGAGCCCGGGCGCCCGCGGCCGCCGCGCCGAGCGCAGCCTCCTCCCGCTCCCACAATGCACAGGGCGGCGGCGGCGGCAGCATCCCCGGCGGCGAGCGGGCTGCGGCGGCGGCCACTCCGAGGACCCCGGGCACGCGGGGCGCCCGGGAGCGATGGCGAGGCTCCCGCCCGCCGCCCGCGCCTGAGGCAGGCGCCCCGCCCTCCCGGCCGCGCCCGGCCCCGCCCGGCCCTGCCCGGCTCCCCACGCGGCCGCCCGGGCGCTTCCTTAGTCGGCGCGGGCGGCCGGCAGGCGAGGTGCGGCCTGCGCGCTGGCGGGGGGCGTCGGTGCCGCGGGCGCCATGGCCGCGTCCCAGCTCTACACAAAGGTAGGGGCCCGCGGGGCGGGGAGGGGGCCCCGCCGCCGGCTGTCAGGCGCGGGGAGGGGGTGTCGGGGGCGCGAGGGCCGCCGGCCGGCACCACCCCTTTTCCGATCATTTCCAGCCCCCCCACCCCCACCCCCACCGCCACCCCACCCCATCCTCCCCCGCCCTGCTGCCTGCGCCCGCGGAGGCGCCTTCCTCTTTCGGGCGGTGATGGTGGGGAAGGCGGCGGGGGAGGCCGGCCTCGGGGTGCCTCTGGCCCGCGCCACGCTTGTCGGGCTGGAGCGGAGGAGTGCGTTTCTGTGAAGGAGGCTGGTGCGAGTTCAGTAGGGCGGACCCGGGTCCCGGGTTGCCCAGCCCTCCGTCCGCTTCAGGAAAAAAAAAAAAACAAAACCAAAAAAAACCCTGGCTGTTGGGGGATGCTTGTCAGATGGTCCCTCCCTTGGGAACACGCGCTTAAAATAACGCCTGGCGTTGTTACATGCGGTGCCACTTCGACTGCCAGCCAGGTTTCCCGTGAGATTGTTTGGAATCCTGCAGACTGAGTATCCAGCCCATTTCAGGTCGCTGCCCTGGGGCGGTGAGCCCCTGGAAGGCGCAGCCGGATCAGCGCCAGCTCCTTCACGGGTTGGGATGGTCCTTACTCATTAGTCGCCGCGAGGTTTGCAACCTGCATGCAATCCCCTAGACTCTAATCCCCTTAGAGCCTTGTTAGGCTCCATGTCTTCCCCCTCCGCCCGGGCGAGCCTTTTCTTCTGGGTTTAATTTAAAGGGAAGCGGCATCCTTTTCTTTGTAATACTGACACACGTGTTCTCTGGATCTGGAAATCTCTAAATGGCATGTTTTGGAAAACTGTCCCTTTGAAAACTCTTCTGAAAAATTGTCTTGGGCAGTGAGTATGTGGAGTCAAGGCATTTTATACTGTAACTCATGTGTAGGTAGGTGTTTTTGCCAGCTATTAATTACCTCTAATTATAATGAACAGAATTGCCCTAACTTTTCAAGTTTGCATTTGCAGCAGAATCTCCATTTAAGATCCTGGAATCACTGTGTCCAAATGTGACACAAGTAAAGCCCAGGGCCCATGTTTATAGAGAGAAAAGAGGTCTGGACCCAACCTCTGGATCCTAGCCCCAGGCCTTGTCACTTACTCTGTGACCTTGGGCAAGTCCTTAACCTCTTCAATAAATGGAGTTAATTATACCTGCCCAGCATCTCTTACAAGACTGTCCTGAGGATGAAGCTTAGTAATAAACAGGAAAGCTTTTTGTAGCCCGTGAATTTCTCTACAAGTCCAAGGTGTTCGATTAATTTCTTCAACCATGAAATGAGGGGTTTTCATGAAACATTCTCTGGGACCTCTTTCTTTCCAGCCTGGTTTAGTTGGAACTTCTCTCTAAACCTGGCAATTTCTTTAGTCATTGTAGATCTCTAATATATAAATGAATACAATTGGAAACTGATTCAAAGTTTCTTTATTAACAAGCATTTATACAGTGCCTACTGTGCCCACTACTGTTTTTAGTGCTTTACAAATTAACTCAGTTAATTCTTATAATAAATGTATAGGGCTGCTACTAAGAAATATCAAATATCAGAGTCATTTTCACATGAAGAGATAAAGATCTGTGGTAATGAGCCCATCCTTGAACTGCTTGACTAAATTGTAGGTTCGTTAACTAGAGACTAAATGCATAATAAATTGCTCTTGGATTTTGGATTTGCCTTTTTCCACCAAGATAACGGGTAGGAGAGAGGTACTGTGATTTTTTTCAATTGTAGCTTCATCACAACCTGTTTTAAAATTACTTTCTAGTCATTATAAAGACAGATTGATTTAGAGATTAAGACTGAAGTTGAACCCTGGCTGGTGCGGTTCAGTTGGTTGAGTGTCATCTGGTGAACCAAAAGGTTGGGTGGGTTGGGATGCATGTGGAATCTCACATCTCCCCCTCCCCCTCCCCCTCCCCTCCCCCTTCCCCTCCCCTCCCCTCTCCCCCTCCCCCTCTCCCCCCCTCCCCCCCCCTTTCCCATCCCCCCTTCCCCTCCCTCTTCCCCTCCCCCTCCCTCCCTCTCCCTCTCCCTCTCCCTCTCCCTCTCCCTCCCTCTCCCTCCCCCTCCTTCCCTCTCTCTCCCTCTCTCCTTCCCTCTCCCTCTCCCTCCCTCTCTCTCCCCCTCCTTCCCTCTCTCTCTCTCCCTCCTTCCCTCTCCCTCCCTCTCCCTCCCTCTCCCTCCCTTTCCCTCCTTTTCCCTCTCCCTCCTTCCCCCTCCCTCCCTCCCTCTCTCTCTCTCTCTCCTCTCCCTCTCTCTCTCTCCCTCTCCCTCTCCCTCTCCCTCTCCCTCTCCCTCCCTCCCTTTCCCTTGTCCCCTTTCTCTCAAAATCAATAAAATATATATTCTAGAAAAAGACAAGTTGAGCTTAAGCCAAGCCACCTTTTTCTAGTATACTTATGCCCAAGAATAATCTGGTCACTGAGCTATTATTGATTAATTCTTTGTGTGAATGGACTTTATGGTGGGTAAAAATATTTATTGCGCACCTACTAGGTGCCAGATACCCTGTTTAATGTTAGAGGTTCTAACAATGAATAAGACACAGTCCTTTTCCTCAAAGGGCTCACAGTCTGCTTTTTATATTCCTCACCAAATTTGTACCTCCAAGGGCATAAAAAGCCTGCTGTAACTCAACAGCAAGCAGACAGCTGTTATGGTATTAGTAGAAGTTAGGGAATAGGTTAGGATATGAGGAATGTTAGAATGACTCTAGAGATGAAAGCTTGAGTAGTGATCATTAGAGGAAGAGGCCAGTCATTAGAAGTAGTATCAATGGATAAACAAGGATTGTTCCCTTGCAGAGGATTATATCTTCTGCGGAAGATAATTAGGAAAGGTATATTAGTGACATGCCATCATTGTGGTATTCAACATAGTGGTTAAATCTGAAAAGTGCCCCCTAACCCTAACCCTAACCCTAACCCTAACCCTAACCCTAAAAGTGCCCCTTTAAAAATGTCATTCAGCTAGCCCTGGCTTAGTAGCTCAATTGGTTCGTAGGGGTGTCGAACTCAATCAGAGAAGGGGCCATAAATCGTGGGCCGAATGGTTTACTGAACAGTCATAAACTGTCATTGTGATGGAAACGCAGCGGAGTGCAGTGATGACAGTGCGGTGCGGGCCACATTGCAAGGCCTGGCGGGACGGATTTGGCCCGCGGGCCTTGTGTTTGACACATGTGGGTTAGAGCATCGTCCTGATGACAGTAAGGTTGCAGGTTCCATCCCTGATCAGATCACATGCAAGAATTCAACCAATGAATGTATACGTAATTGAAACAACAAACCCTGTTTCTCTCCCTCCCTCTCTCCATTTCTTCCTCTCTGTCTAAAATTAGTAAAGTGGGTAATCTAAATAGTTATATTGCTTTTCACTTGTATTAATAAATATAGCTTCATTTAAAAAATGTCATTTAGAGCATAAAGGCAGATTTTGTTGTGTGATTCAGATCCGTTCTTATTACGGTGAAAGGCATGACCATTCAGTTTATTCTTTTTAGCTAATGATAATGGTTTTGTCACAGCAGTTTAGTAGGGCTTCTATGTTGTAAATTTCCCCAGCAGTATAAACATTTTAAGGGCAACAGTTAGGATCCTAGGATATAACATTTCTGAAAACTAACATTTTGTTTAAAACATGTTTGTTGTCACTAGCCAGTTTTGCTTAGTGGATAGAGCTTTGGCGTGTGGACTGAATCAGATTTGATTCCAGTCAAGGACACATATCTCAGTTACAGGCTTAATCCCTGGCCCTGGTTGGGGCACCTGGGGGAGGCAACTGCCATCAGTTGTGTGTGTCTCTCACATCAGTGTTTCTCTCTGGCTCTCCCAGTCCCTTCCACTCTCTCTAAAAATCAATGGAGAATTATCCTCGGGTGAGGATTAACAACAACAAAAAAAATGTTTATTGATTTTGAAATAACAGATTTATTGAGATATAATTCACATACTATACCACTGGCCAATTCAATTGTTTTTAGAATGTTCATAGAGTTGTGTGTTGATTTGTTTTTAGATCCTTGACTTGTTCCCAAAAGAATCGAAGGTGGCTATGATACATCATTACCTCTGATTTTGAAAATATTTGCTAGTCTTGACTTGCCAGTGGGTATCTGAATCATAACATTACCCAAAGATGCTTTCAGCAACTTCAAAGGATTCAGTGTATGTGGAGCAAGGATTATTAATGAGACCTAGACGGATCACTTGAAGCAATAAAATGTCATGCTAGTCCTCTTTACTTGAGGTTCCGAGACACCGTGGATAGCACCATAAATCCTGGAATGGCCAAGATTACCTGATGCCGTTTCATTAGGAGTCCCCATGCTGAGCTTTGTAACAGTGCAGAAAGGATTTAAAGCCCCCCATCTGGAGCCCTGTGAACTCTCCTAGATGAAACAGCTGGTTAAGCCAGTCAATTGTATACTTGTAGCCTTCCTTTCCTACCATATTCCCTCATATCTACTGAAGTTACATGGTCAAGATTTTTCCTGGGATAGTTTCAATTTTATATTCTGTCATTGTTCCTTTACTATCAATCCTGGGAATTCTAATTTTTTGGTGTCAAAATTACATTTCTCAGACAGCTTCCAAAATCTTAAAGCAAAACAGCAATCTTATCTCTGATAATTTCCTCAAGTCTTCTGTCACGCCCCTTCCATTCAAATTTCCTCTGATGTGTCTAGGCCTGTTAATTGCACTGCAGTTCTAGTCCTTCAGGTTAGAAACCCTACAGCTTTTCCTTTTTTTAAATTTATTTATTATACAGCTTCTTTCTTTCTTTTTAAAAAAAATATATTTTATTGATTTTTCACAGAGAGGAAGGGAGAGAGATAGAGAGCTAGAATCATCAATGAGAGAAATACATCGACCAGCTGCCTCCTGTACACCCCCCACCGGGGATGTGCCCGCAACCAATGTACATGCCCTTGACCGGAATCTGAACCTGGGAC